GAATTAGCCAGGCATGGGTGGCGCATGCCTGTAGTCCCAGCTACTCGGAGGCTGAGGCAGAAGGATTGCTTGAGCCCAGAGTTTGTAGGTTGCTGTGAGCTAGGCTGACGCCATGCACTCACTCTAGCCTAGGCAACAAAACGAGACTCTGTCTCAAGAAAAAAAAAAAAAAGAAAATTTATTCATTAGATTCTTTGTGCCATAGAAAGATACTCAGGACCATAATTTATAATAATAAGCGAGCAAAAAGGCTAATTGTAATAGCTCAACCTTTAAAAGGCTTTAATTCGACATTATGAATATACGTGCTATATAATAACAATATAAAACACTTACTAAACACCCCCCCCCCCCGCCCCCCCCCCCCCCCCCCCCCAAACGGTTGTTTCTTACCAAAGACAGCTGCATTCTGAGGGGGAAGCAGTCAAGTATTCTGATGGCATGGACCGAATCTCCAGGCCCCTCATTGTTAGAAAATGATAGGAAGGTATAGCGTTCCTCGGTGGTTTACGTTCTGTTCGATTTTGTCATTCGTGATTTCTCAGGATTTTAAGCTGTGTGTGTGGTTGTTTGTTGTTTCATGGGTCTGTGTGTTAGTGTGTGTTGTTTTTTTGGCGTAGTTGGGTGGGCGGGGGTACTCTGCCTATATATATTATAGAGAGTATGTAAGTGATGGAAGAACGCATGTGTAGTAAGTATTGTATAACATATTAAGCATAATTTCAGGACAAAGTCAAGGAGAGAGTGACCTGGAAGGCGGCTTTCGTCGCTCTTGGGGTGTCCTGCGCCATGGCCGTCCGGCGTAGGTGGGTGGGAGTGCAAGGTGGAGGCCATCTCCTCGCTCTGGAGAGGCAGTGCGCAACCTGTTCCCGGAGAGCTTGGGCTGGACTAGCTCGTGCGTGGTGCGATCGTCCCACCTGAGGATGCGGGGTCTCGCTCTTGCTCAGGCTGGTTTTGAACTCCTGACCTTGAGCAATCCGCCCGCCTCGGCCTCCCAAGAGCTAGGATTACAGGCGTAAGCCACCGCGCCCAGCCTGAGTATAGAGTTTTAATTTGAGAAGATGAAAGAGTTCTGGAGATGGATGGGGTGACAGTTATACAACAACGTGAATGTATAATACTTAACGCCACTAAACTGTATCCTTAAAAGTGGTTAAGATGGTAACTTTTATTTTATATGTGTTTTACCAAACTAAAAAAAACCATCCAAACAATAGTGACATGACACTGAATTTCAGATTATCTGCTCCAATTCATACCATACCAGGTCTAATTGGGGTCCAGTTATGCCTTTGGGATAAAAAAGAAACTACAGAAGATGTTGCTCCTGAAACCAAGCAATGGAAAGTAGAAATGTAAAAAAGGAAAACATATCATATGGACAGAAAGATACTCTCAGCATTACAACATGAAAGGACTGTGTAAAGGAACATTAACTTCTTGCATCACAAATCAGCAGAAACAAAAAAAATTATGTTATAACAATACTAAGATATTATTTGTCTTTTTACTTTCATTCTCTCAAGCATCACAGTGTTTCCTGAAGCTATATGTAAGCTAATAGTAAGATATTGAATGCATAAGATATTGCATAAGATATTGAATGCATAAGCAGACATGAGAAAATAGCGATCTTGTATTAAGGCAGACATTTCAAAAATTTGCAAAAATGTAAAATAATGCCACTCATCTTGTTACATGTTTTTGTCAAAATAAAAATTTTTCATTAAAATGTTATTTATGTTAACATGGATGGGTCATTATTTTTAAATATTTTTCATTTTAAATGAGTTAATAAACACTTTATTTCAGTATTTCTGATACAGTAATTATCTATAGATACAAGCCACATAAACAAAGGTTCTTTATAGTCCTTAATAATTTTTTAGTGTAAAGGGGTCCTAAGACCAGAAAATATTGAGAATTACTGTAGACTTACCCTTACAGGATGGTTCTTCCAGTTCCTTCTTTATATTTAAGCTTCCCAATCTTAATAACTGTGCTACAGTGTTAAAGAGCGTATCAGTTTGTGCGTCAGATCACACTTAACTCCATACTAACCAGACATAAGACTTGGGGCAATTCACTGTTAATTAAGCCTGTTTCCTCCTCTGTAACGTGGAGATAATATTAGTAACTACCTCACAGAGTTAGTTGTGGATTAAATGAGGATTAAATGAAACAATATATGGTAAAGTACTTAGCTTATGCTAAGAATTCATTAAGATATAAGGATGATGATGATAAGAAGGAATACTATATTGTGCTAACTATAGGCCAGGCATAATTCTAGATGCTTCACATGAATAAATGCCTTCAATCCTCCTTATAACTCTATGACAGAGGTACTATTATTATCACCTCCATTTTATAGCTGAGGAAACTGAAACCCAGAAGTTACGTAACTTTCAAAGGACACACAGCTCTAGCTTTGGAACCTAAGTTCTTAACCCCTATACACTCCCTTCTATACTTTTATAACAATCTACCTGCCATTATTTTCTCCCTGCTGGTGTGAGTTCACTTGAGTATTGACACAGCCTCCAACAATCTGCAAACTATTTTTAAAAGATACAATTTATAATTTTTCTCACATGCGGAAGGTAGCAAAATAGCACATTCGGCAAATATGAAACTCCAGGATACTACATATTTACCAAATAAAAACTGTGCAATATTTCTTTTTTTTTTTTTTTTTTTTTTCATACTATTTCTGGACTGAATGTGCAATATTTCTAATACCAAATTTAATAAGCTCCTACTTTCCTAGGTTTCCTGGAAGTAAATATGCCCTACCCATAATCACTCCGTCGCCCCCCTCCTTCTTAACCCGTCCCCCCACTTGTTTCTATACCTGCATTTGATCAGTCTGGTAACCTATTGTTTCACTTGTTCGTAGTATAGAAACTCCAACGAAGAAGGATGTTTTCTGTTTTGATGATTTTTGTTTCTGCTACTATCAATCAAAGCACCTAGAAATTATTTGCAGCCACTTAGAACCTAATACATATTGTGCTGAAGGGTGATAACAGAAAAGAAACAAAGCATTGCCTATTAAAATTAAGGAAAAGAACCTTGAAATAAGCGAAATGCCAACGAAGCATTAAAGGGCCTAAACACAGTAACACAGGAATACACCAAATCCATGAACAAGTCAACACATGACAGACGTCAATATATGGATAGAAAAATACATGAAAGTATCAACATGAAACAAAATTTAGGAGCCTCGCCTCCCCCAAAGACCCCACCCTCAAAAAATAATTTATAAACCTGGCTATTTTTATTTTAAACTTCTACATAACAAAATTAGCAGTATCCTTAGTATACAGTAAAAATAAAATTTTCGGCCAGGGGCACGTGCGCTCACGCCTATCAACTCCTAGCTCTCCTGGGAGGGCGCCTGAGGGCGGCGCGATTGCTGCAAGGTGCAGGAAGTTCAATAATGCCTGACCAAGAGTCAACGACCCCCGTCCTGCTAACTATACAAAGTAGAAAGAAAATTACATGGTGCCCCCAACTAATACCTATATAGGAAAAATTAGGCCAGGCATGGGGCCCCGCATGGCCTGTAGTCCCAGTACCTCCGGGAAGGCTGAGGCAGAAGGATGTCCCTTGAGCCCCA